TTTTTTTTTAAACAGGCCCTTATGGTCCTGGCTCCGTATCCATTCTGGGGAGCATCAGTCCGGTTCCTATTCCACCGGCAAGTCATAATAAAAGATACATAAAAATACTCACTCATGCTTCCTTCCGTCTGGCCGAAGGACTCCTGACCAGCATTGATTGCTCCAACATCGCGGAGTATTGACTGTCAGCTTGCCCTGCTTCATCCTTTCCTCTCAGGTCACATGGTACAACCTGTCATATAGATCATGAGTGACGAGAAAGGTCCTAGCAGATAACAACACCTCCTATTTTGTCTAAAGTACAAAAACCCATATGGAAAAACAAAATTTTGTTGTTGTGAAAAATGTGGACACCATTTGCCCCCCTGCTTCATCCTTTCCTCTCAGGTCACATGCTACTACCTGTCATATAAATCATGAGTAACGAGAAAGGTCCTAGCAGATAGCAACACTTCCTGTTTTGTGCCAACAACAAAACCCCTATATGGAAAAACAAAATTTTGATATTCTGAAAAATGTGAACACCATTTGCCCCTTTTCCATTTCTCTCTCATGTCCTCCTTAGCTGGCCTCCCATTTACTCCGTAAGGCAACCTAAGCTCCTGTGTCGACCGCTGATCATCTATATTGTCATCCTGATGCTTCACCTTGAACCAATGGAAGATCAGTTTTTGTCCTTCAATCGTCGCAACTTTGCCTTGGGCTAATACCCTGTTGTGGTATTTAGATAAGATGTCCTTTGCCCTTTCTGGATTAAGCTCAAGTTGCTTCTTTGTTCTTCTCCACAATGCCCTAATCTCTGTTTCCAACAAGTTATAGAGAATTGCCTTGGCTTCCCCTCTTGTTGCATACTGTAACGTGCAGACCAGAACAAGAACCGACCTCTCAATACAAAGTACAAGATAACACAGCGGAAGACTTAGATACGAATGATCCGAACAATCAATATTGCAATGCAGCCCTGAACACACATCATCATCATCGTTATCTGGTGTGAAGGGGGTCTGGCGCTTCACACAAGAAGACTGCGCTAGCCCCAACCATACACAAACGAAGAAGGAGGGGTTAGACGAAAGAGGAGGGGAAGATGGGAATGTCGTCAACACCAAGTCTCGATACAGGCCCAAATAGTCCCTCGTCGAAATGTCTGAATCCCAATGTCCAGTCTGGATCCAATGTCGTCAAGTCTCAAGTCACAACTCTTTCTCTCTCT